AAAAGTCAGTGGAACATTACAAATACAAGAAAATGATTCCAGAAAGAGGACATTTGCAAACAAAACAGAAGCAGAGTCTTGTACAAACAAACATGTCAATGGAACATCACAAGGAGAGCCAAAGAATTCTGCAGTAACAATATCCAAGCTGGGATCAGGATGGTCAGACCTTATTCCAATAGAACTTCTATTAATGATTTTCCAAAATGTCATAAAGGGAATTTGCGGGTCATCGATACCTTTCTTATGCAGGTGAGGTCGAAATCACGTTAAATTGAAGTTAAAGCTTGAGGTTCATATTGGGGGAATACTGGTCAAATGTTTTGTTTTTTCTTTGTACATTGTACATGCACATGTTAGTTTGTGCTTGTAAATAAATGTACATTCCCATGGTAAACACAAACAGCAAGGTTAGGAATTTATTCTGACTTGTTTTCCAGGTTGCCATCATGAATATTAAAGGCAAATAGCCCAAATTGTCTGCCAAAAATGAAGGAAATGTGATTTGTGCTGAACAACAAACTCCTTTCATTTACAAGTGCACTTTTTTAATGTTAACAGCAATTTGCGTAAACTAATTCCTGATTGAGTGGTCTACCTTAGTGGTCCATCTTGCAAAATTTGGACTTCTGAAGGAAACAATTAGAATTCTCTTTTTTTTAAATCATGGACCAGTTTACCATAAAAGAAATAATTGTATGGCCTTACATACATGTGCCAGAGGCATGGAGAGCATGGAGTGATGGTAAACTATGATGTAATGTTTTATCCCAGATAAAGAAGATACACTGTAGATGGACTGATAGCCTGCTACCAGTTAAGGTCATTCCTCACATTTGCATTGCGCATCCTTACNGCCTGATGGGGCCACAAATGACAAGGCTTAAATACAGACTTGTCTTGACTATTAACACTCTAGAGGGGATTATGCTACTAGTACCATGTACTGTAATTAAATATAAGAAATGATATTCTATTTTTAGGAATTAAAAAGAAAAGTAAACCTCGAAACAATTTGAAAAAGAGGAAAACAGGACCAGCTTGTACAAGCAAAAAAAAAGTCAGTGGAACATTACAAATACAAGAAAATGATTCCAGAAAGAGGACATTTGCAAACAAAACAGAAGCAGAGTCTTGTACAAACAAACATGTCAATGGAACATCACAAGGAGAGCCAAAGAATTCTGCAGTAACAATATCCAAGCTGGGATCAGGATGGTCAGACCTTATTCCAATAGAACTTCTATTAATGATTTTCCAAAATGTCATAAAGGGAATTTGCGGGTCATCGATACCTTTCTTATGCAGGTGAGGTCGAAATCACGTTAAATTGAAGTTAAAGCTTGAGGTTCATATTGGGGGAATACTGGTCAAATGTTTTGTTTTTTCTTTGTACATTGTACATGCACATGTTAGTTTGTGCTTGTAAATAAATGTACATTCCTATGGCCTTTTCTTGGTAAACACAAACAGCAAGGTTAGGAATTTATTCTGACTTGTTTTCCAGTTTGGCTTCATGGATATTAAAGGCAAATGGCCCAAATTGTCTGCCAAAAATGAAGGAAAAATGATTTGTGCTGAACAACAAACTCCTTTCATTTACAAGTGCACTTTTTTGAATGTTAACAGCAATTTGCTTAAACTAATTCCTGATTGAGTGGTCAACCTTAGTGGTCCGTCTCGCAAGATTTGGACTTCTGAAGGAAACAATTAGAATTCTCTTTTTTTTTTAATCATGGACCGGTTTACCATAAAAGAAATAATTGTATGGCCTTACATACATGTGCCAGAGGCATGGAGAGCATGGAGTGATGCTAAAGTGTGATGTAATGTTTTATCCCATATAAAGAAGATACACTGTAGATGGACTGATAGCCTGCTACCAGTTAATTGCCAGGCATATGACCGTATAATATGTCACTTTGCGAAGCATATTTATGCAAACGTTTGTCACAATATATAAGGGAAAAAAACTGATAAAAAGTCTGGGAAAGCCAGCTTGTGATGTTAAGTCTAGAAAGTGATTACCAGAACTCCAATCAAGTCTCACCCCTCAATCATGAGACTTGTGCAACTTATGCAAACATTATATCCACGATCACACTGAGATTTATTTCTCGTGCATAAATTTAAATGTTTTGATTCAAATATTATATTTAGTACATTTTGAGAGAGAAAATTGTTATCAAAGTATATAGTACCTGCAACTTGGGATGAACATACTGCCAACACAGGGAGAACACAAATTATCTTGTTTAGTAGGATAAGAGTAAATTAAACTTGTAATCTTTTTGACTTCATATTAGGGTGTTTGGCAGACAATTTCTGCAATTTGAATTTAACCTTCAATTTTACAAGCAACCTAAAATACGTCACTAAATTTATAACATTTGCATGTGTATTTACCATTAATGGAGTGCTAAGACTCATTAATTTGTCAGCAGAGTTCTAAAAGAGCCATTGTTTGTACTACATATCATGTAGCTTGGTCAGCCATTAGTCCATAAATCTCAGCCAATACAAATCTCACTAACCAGTTCAATCACATATGATCCATGTTATCTAATAATGTAAATTTTTGAAAGCCTAGCAAATATTCGGACCTAATAGTCTGGTCAACTTGTTAGTACCAGTTATAATTTATGTACAAGTTAACTCAATTTATGGTGCAACTAATGTAATTGTCTTTGTCATTTAAGGATGTCAATGGTTTGTCGCAGATGGAGGGAGGTTGCTTCAGAACCGATATTATGGAGAAAAGTTGACTTGTCCACTCCAAGTTTTAAATTCTTAAAAGCATCCACTGCAACAATAGAAAAGTTGATACCCACAAGACTTGCAGGTGTCATTCAACTTAACCTTTTAGGATGGGACAAACTTACAGATAAAACAATACAGGTGTTATAAAGTGAATTATTTTATGCATTTGAGCAGATATCATCAATGTTATGTGTTACCGCTTCTTAAATAGAGGTAAAATTAAATTTAATATTAACTGATCTTTTAAAAATAGAACAGAACCTCTCAGTTGTTTTTTTTTCTGCAAAGTGTAGCTCCAGAAAATATCCATACCTCCCCCACAGAAGAAATTTTTTCAAAGACCCTCCCACCACTGTGGAAATTCAAATAAGCTAATCATGAATTTATTTCTCTTTTTGAGTCTTACAGAACCCAGTTACTGGTCTTCTGAAGAAACACACATGTAGTTGTAAAATATTGTTCTCAATTATTTGTCAAGTGATCTATTCAACTGATCAGCCTGTTCCGTTCATGGCATTATTCAACAGACAATAGGTAAACACTGCCACGAACTCCAGTCAATAGTCCTGTCACGCTGTGAGAACTTAACATCTAAAAGTATTGCATCTCTTGCTGACAAGTGCCACCAATTAAAGATGATTGATATCTCATTTACAAAGGTAATTTTATTTAAGATTTATTTAGCTGCTGACAGTGACTGGTAAGTTTCCTTTTGGGTAAATGAGTTTTTTTTAATTGGAGAGAATAATTATTTGAATGTGAATTAATCTGCAATTTTAACTGGTGGATTATAGANATGGAGGGAGGTTGCTTCAGAACCGATATTATGGAGAAAAGTTGACTTGTCCACTCCAAGTTTTAAATTCTTAAAAGCATCCACTGCAACAATAGAAAAGTTGATACCCACAAGACTAGCAGGTGTCATTCAACTTAACCTTTTAGGATGGGACAAACTTACAGATAAAACAATACAGGTGTTATAAATTGAATTATTTTATGCATTTGAGCAGATATCATCAATGTTATATGTTACCACTTCTTAAATAGAGGTAAAATTAAATTTAATGTTAACTGATCTTTTAAAAATAGAACAGAACCTCTCAGTTGTTTTTTTTTTCCGCAAAGTGTAGCTCCAGAAAATATCCATACCTCCCCCACAGAAGAAATTTTTTCAAAGACCCCCCCACCACTGTGGAAATTCCAAATAAGCTAATCGTGAATTAATTTCTCTTTTTGAGTCTTACAGAACCCAGTTACTGGTCTTCTGAACAAACATACATGTAGTTGTAAAATATTGTTCTCAATTATTTGTCAAGTGATCTATTCAACTGATCAGCCTGTTCTGTTTATGGCATTATTCAACAGACAATAGGTAAACACTGCCACGAACTCCAGTCAATAGTCCTGTCACGTTGTGAGAACTTAACATCTAAAAGTATTGCATCTCTTGCTGACAAGTGCCACCAATTAAAGATGATTGATATCTCATTTACAAAGGTAATTTTATTTAAGATTTATTTAGCTGCTGACAGTGACTGGTAAGTTTCCTTTTGGGTAAATGAGTTTTTTTTNGAGCTTATATTAAAGCAAACACGACGGCAACGAGAACTTGACCAACATTTTTTTGAAACATTTGTCGTGTTTCTATTGATGCCTATTGATCGATGCGTGAGTTTTATCTACTATCGTTCTATCACGAATGCCATTTTCTGATTGGCTACACTATCTATTCTATTCCCTTGTAGATAGTGTGTAGCCTTAAGCAGTGTGCAGTTGACATAATGACAGCCGCTTCTTTGTGTTTTCGAAGTGTCTGTGAAGAGAATTTAGATAAAGTTTTAAACGACTAGTAGATTTACAGCGTGTATACTAAAGCAATTAGACTTGATTTCTACGCGTGATACGGTAGCTGGGTTATATCAAGCGATAGAAATGTCGAGCTCATAATGTAATTATTAAATAGAAACACGAGTGGAAGCTTTGGAAAATTAAAAATGCTGTGAGAACACAAGCCCCAGCTGAGTGTTTCTGGGACACAGTTCTTTTTACTTCTCGCAAACTTTCATGAGTGTGTTCTATTAAACAATTAGGTTATGAGCTGGAGATTTCTATCGCGGGATAGTTGACGAGGGTAGCCAATCAGAGAACGGCATTCGTGATAGAACGCTAGTAGACTTATACAAAACTTCGATAGAAACACAGAGATTTTTTTCTGTTCCTTCCAAGAAAGAAACAAGGAGAATTTTTTTTCGTGTATATCTTACAGGAAACACTACAATTGTACCAGTAAAAGAAAGGAAAGTTGCTCCGCGCTTATTTCGATTTCAAAATGCAAATGTCAACAACTCGTGCGAGTTCTGTCCTACTTTAGAAAACATGTGTTTCCTTATCTGTTTCCCTTTTTTTGTAAGAAAAGTTAAAATTTGAATTAGCTCAGCGGTCATAACGAATGCTCAGTTGCTAATGATCACTCGCATTTGTTTTCAATGGTTTGTAGGCAGGTTGTCCCAAGTTGAAAGAACTCTTCCTGGTTAATTTGGTGCTCAACTCGACACCTACATGTAAAACTCTGAATGATGAAAAGGTACGTGTATGCAACGATGTGTTAAACGATGCGAGATTTTTCATTTTTCACCTCAAATGTTACTATATCGATGAAGCGCGAGTTGATTTCAACATATATAGTAGAATCCCTTTTTCTCGAAGCGTCGATTTTTCGAACCTCCCGATAACTTGAAACAAAAGTTGTTTCCTTTCCTCAGTTTGGCTCCGATTTCTCGAACTACTCTATTTTTCAAACCAATATTTGCTTCCCTTGCAGGGCTGCCACAGGACATTAAGTGGTCAGAGAAAAAATTCTTTTAGGTCAGGGAAAAGTCGGAGAATTTTATTTTGAGTCAGGGAAAATTGACATTTNGAGCTTATATTAAAGCAAACACGACGGCAACGAGAACTTGACCAACATTTTTTTGAAACATTTGTCGTGTTTCTATTGATGCCTATTGATCGATGCGTGAGTTTTATCTACTATCGTTCTATCACGAATGCCATTTTCTGATTGGCTACACTATCTATTCTATTCCCTTGTAGATAGTGTGTAGCCTTAAGCAGTGTGCAGTTGACATAATGACAGCCGCTTCTTTGTGTTTTCGAAGTGTCTGTGAAGAGAATTTAGATAAAGTTTTAAACGACTAGTAGATTTACAGCGTGTATACTAAAGCAATTAGACTTGATTTCTACGCGTGATACGGTAGCTGGGTTATATCAAGCGATAGAAATGTCGAGCTCATAATGTAATTATTAAATAGAAACACGAGTGGAAGCTTTGGAAAATTAAAAATGCTGTGAGAACACAAGCCCCAGCTGAGTGTTTCTGGGACACAGTTCTTTTTACTTCTCGCAAACTTTCATGAGTGTGTTCTATTAAACAATTAGGTTATGAGCTCGAGATTTCTATCGCAGGATAGTCGACGAGGGTAGCCAATCACAGAACGGCATTCGCGATAGAACGCTAGTAGATTTATACAAAACTTCGATAAAAACACAGAGATTTTTTTCTGTTCCTTCCAAGAAAGAAACAAGGAGAATTTTTTTGTCTATATCTTATAGGAAACACTACAATTGTACCAGTAAAAGAAAGGAAAATTGCTCCGAGCTTATTTCGATTTCAAAATGCAAATGTCAACAACTCGTGCGAGTTCTGTCCTACTTTAGAAAACATGTATTTCCTTATCTGTTTCCCTTTTTTTGTAAGAAAAGTTAAGATTTGAATTAGCTCAGCGGTCATAACGAATGCCCAGTTGCTATTGATCACTCGCATTTGTTTTCAATGGTATGTAGGCAGGTTGTCCCAAGTTGAAAGAACTCTTCCTGGTTAATTTGGTTCTCAACTCGACACCTACTTGTAAAACTCTGAATGATGAAAAGGTACGTGTATGCAACGATGTGTTAAACGAAGCGAGATTTTTCAATTTTCACCTCAAATGTTACTATATCGATGAAGCGCGAGTTGATTTCAACATATACAGTAGAATCCCTTTTTCTCGAAGCGTCGATTTTTCGAACCTCCCGATAACTTGAAACAAAAGTTGTTTCCTTTCCTCAGTTTGGCTGCGATTTCTCGAACTACTCTATTTTTCAAACCAATTTTTGCTTCCCTTGCAGGGCTGCCACGGGACATTAAATGGTCAGAGAAAAAAATTCTTTTAGGTCAGGGAAAAGTCGGAGAATTTTATTTTTTTGTCGGGGAAAATTGACATTTTGAAGAAAAGTCAGGGAAAATTGCACGTCAGAAGCCGCTATTAGATCTGACATTNTATCGATGAAGCGCGAGTTGATTTCAACATATAGAGTAGAATCCCTTTTTCTCGAAGCGTCGATTTTTCGAACCTCCCGATAACTTGAAACAAAAGTTGTTTCCTTTCCTCAGTTTGGCTCCGATTTCTCGAACTACTCTATTTTTCAAACCAATATTTGCTTCCCTTGCAGGGCTGCCACAGGACATTAAGTGGTCAGAGAAAAAATTCTTTTAGGTCAGGGAAAAGTCGGAGAATTTTATTTTGAGTCAGGGAAAATTGACATTTTGAAGAAAAGTCAGGGAAAATTGCACGTCAGAAGCCGCTATTAGATCTGACATTTTGTATTCATTTGGTCGGGGAAATTTGATTTTTATCAGGGAAAAGTTAGGGAATTCTGAAAAGTGCGGTCTTTGGCAACCATACCTGGAAGGTTCGAAAAATCAAGTACATGTGTTTTTGTGGAATCAAGACATTTTCATCAGT